AAAAAAAGAGAGGGTCTGCAACTTTCCTACAATGAATGTGATAGTTTGATAATAGCTTTTAAATAGATGTTGTTTTGTATATATTTTTAAAAGAAACAAAGAAAGGCTCTAAGTATTAAAATTCTTTAAAAACCTAATAAAATGAAACTCTGCTACAAAATCCTACAATATCTGAAAATAATTCTTGCCTTTAGAAAGGAGCTTTCCGAATTACTGTGTTGCCATTAGCTATTGCTCAGCATCAGTAGAGAAAAATCATTTGAACCACATCTTTAGTCTTTCTCTCAGTGGGTCTGGTGGGACCAATATCTGCATCCCGGTAGGACTTTCCAGCACACAGTCGTCATTTCTGGGCAAAGAGTCATTTCTGCATTTGAATGACCACTCTTCCCTTTCTTGCTTTTAAATCTGTTTTCCTTCTTCTTCTCCCATCTACACATCTCTTGATGTTTTAGGGCTCTATTCTTATAACTTTTCATTCTGTAGTCATCTTCCCCGGGAATTGCCATGAAATCCACTCCTAGGGTCTGGCTGGGCCACAGGGAAAGAGTGACAGCCCATCCAGAACCAGCTTGGAGTGCAGCTGTGCTTCTAACCTGGCTGGCGGCCCAACAGGGCCAGGAAAAGAAAATATTTGAACAAACCACAAAGAATTTATTTCCCTTATCTTTACAGAGCTCCCACAAATCCATAAGGACAAAGGAGCAGTAATCCAATTAAAAAATTGGGAAAGGGTATAATCAACTGGTTACAAAAATAATGCAAATCAGTCTTAAATACACGAAAAAAAAACCCTCTCACCCTCACTGAGAAGGGAAATGCAAGGTGGACTATAATAAGATGCCATTTTTATATCTGCTAAATTGTCAAAAGCTAGCTGAGGACATAGCTCAGTGGTACAGCTCTTGCCTGGTACAAGGCTCTGGGTACAATCCCTGGCACTGCAAAAACAAAAGACATGGGGTAAGACATTTAAAAGAAGTAAATTAGCAAAAACCAAACATGTTGGTAGAGCTGTGTCACACAATGCAGGTCATCGTTGCCATTGCCAATGGGAAGGTAATGGCATAATCTCTGGGAAGATCAATTCAGGGCTGGGGATTTAGCTCAGTGGCACCACACCTGCCTCACAAGCGCAAGGTCCTGAGTTCAATCAGGAAAACACACATGCACACACACACACATACACACACACACACACAAAACTTAGCAATATTTTTCTAAAAGTAAATGCTTGTTGTGGGGTAATTTTATCCTTCCAAAATTCACACAGTGAAAAAACCTTAAAAAAAAGGAAAAAAATACACACAGTGAAATTCCAATCTCTAGGACCTCTGAATGTGACCCGATTTGGAAATATGCCCTCTGCACATGTGACTAGTTGTGATGAGGTCATACTAGAGTGGAGAGGTCCCCTATTCAATATGACTGGTGTCTTTATAAAAAAGGGGGAATGTGCTCACAGACACACACAAAGGGAGAATGCCACGTAAACTTGAAGGCGGAAACCTGGACGTACATCTACAGGAAATACTAAATATGGCCAGCAAGGCATGGGAAGCCACAGATGGTCTGGAGCTGGCTCTACTTCACACCCTCAGGAGGAACCAGCCCTTCCCACACCTTGGTATTGGATTTCTAGCCTGCAGAGCTATGAGCAAATACATTTCTCTTGCTTAGTTTCCCAGACTGTAGCACATTATTATAACAGCCCTAGCAAACCAACACATTCTTGAACCAAGCAAGAGTCTCTGTCCTACTGCCGTAATTTGGATCTGAAATGCCTCCAAAGTTGTATGTGCTAAAGGCCTGGTCCCAACCTGTGGTACTATTGGGGGAAGGTAGTAGAAATTTTAGGAAGTGAAGCCTGGTAGAAGATTAGGTCACCGGGGGCATGCTCTTGAAAGGGATATTAGAGCCCCGCCTCTTGCTGTCTTCTGCTTCCTGGTCGTCATGGTGAGGAGTTTCCTCCACCATGAGCTCCTGCCATGATGTTCTGCCTTTCCACAGGCTAAAAAGCAATGTGACAAAGCAACCATGGACTGAAACCTCTGAAACCATGAGCCAAATAAATCAACCTTCCTCCACCCCCTACATCCAATACTGGGGATTAAACCCAAGCCCTTCACACTGAATTACAACCCCAGCCTTTTTTTTTTTTTTCTTTTGAGACATAGTCTTGCTAAATTTCCCAAGTGGGATTTGGACCTGCAAGCCTCCTGTCTCAGCTTCCCTCAGTGCTGGGATTGCAGGCGTGTACCTCTGCACCCAGCTGGCTTTCCCCCTTCTAAATTGATTTGGCACGAGTATTCTGTCGTAGTGATGGAAAGCTAGTGATCCTATGTATTGGTGCAATGGCAAAGTGATGAGTGGACAAGGACAGGGTATACGGTGCAGCATTTTTTTGCAATTGCCAGAGATCAGAAACAATCTACAAAAAGCCAGGTATGACGGTGCACACCTGTAATCCGACCACTGGAGAGGCTGAAGCAGGAGGATTGCTAGCTCAAGGCCAGCCAAACCTACATAACAAGACCAAAAAGTCAAAAAGCCAAGGGAAAAAAAAAATCACCTAAACGTCTACCAGTCACACACTGCTTGAATAAATTATGGCATTTCCTTACGATGGGGTATTTTTTTAACTGTCAACAGTAATGATACAGGGTTACGTATAGTGACTAGAACTATCTCAGAAGTGCACTTTCAAATAAGAAAACTGTAGTTAGCTGTATAGAGGACCTCATTTGTATAAAAATAAGAAGCAGGGACTGGTGATGGAGTTCAGTGGTAGAAGGGCTTGCCCAGCATGCACAAGGCCTGAGTTTGATTCCCCCACACTGCATAAAATAAAAAATAAAAATCAATACCAAGAATGTGTACAGGGAAGATATTTTCTACAGGTGCATAGCTTCTTTCTGGAAAGATATGAGAGGAGCTGCTAACTTCGTTGTCCTAGGAGAGCAGCATCACTTTAAGACCAACAGAAAGAGGCTTTGTTTCTACTGTGAATCCACCTGTACCTTCTGCACGTTTACACTGCTAATGTATCACCTGGTGTTTTTAAATCTAATGTAAAAAAATCTAATGTAGAACATCAAATGTCTTTCATACTTCAAAACCGGACACTAAAAAGGAGAAAATGTAGCCACTCTGGCTTTTCATCTTTTGGAAATAACAGCTATTCAGAACTGAAATGGGTTATTTGAAGAAGTGATATCTTCCCTCTTATCTCTTCATTTAGAACCAAAGCACATTTGTTTTAAAAATAACTGAATAAATCACAAAAATGAAGTACAAGGTGCAAGAATTCTAAACCCCCATGTATTAAAAGCAAATATACCATTTTAAAAATTCCTAACATGTAAGATTTCAATCTATAATGATAATTTCAGTATATATTCAGCACTCAAATTAAGCCTAACAAATTATTTTTAATTCATTTGTCTATAAATCTTGCTTTTCCTTATAAAATTAATTTAAATTCTATTAAGCAGCAGACTTCATTTATTAAATAGAAAACAATCAAAAGTAGCATTTAAAAATAATGAACCTTTTCAGAAGTAAAGTTTCTCGTATAGTCTTTGTGATCTGGCTGATCTAAAATAAGATAAATTCTCTAAACATATTTTTATATCTTGTAAAAATTATAAAATTATTTTTTCTCGTGCAACAAAGTGGTTTGCAAGGTCATCGGTTGCTGTGAAAATGACTTGACTTTCCAAATATGTCGAGAAATGCAACATAGGCATGGCACGTATGATTGTGTAAGCTGTAAACTGCACAACTCCAGGAGATATCATGCAGATTATAATTCAAATTATTCAGTGATCCACCTGCACAGCCATGACCATCAGCCCTGTGGCTGCAAGAAATGTTGGAGACCATAGAAGGTTCTGCAGCAAGAGAGATGTCAGAGCTGGGGTCATGGGAACTCTGAGGCCAGAACCTCATGCATACAGACTCTCAACTCCCTAGGCTGGCCTCCCTTTTGAAGCCTCTAGCAACAGAAATATCCTAAGCTTTCCCCGAGCATAATAACCTCAGTTTTCCTAAATGTGGGAGGACAGACTCAACTACCAATGTTCTGAATCTCTTCCTTGGCTTACACAACTCAATGGCCTCTTTGATTGCTCCACAGCTGAGAAGGAAGGCCAGAAAAGGGCCTCTCACGTCCCTAATCTGTACTCCTACCCCAGTGGAAACAGAGGTGGCTAGCACCAGGGGCAGGGGGAAGGTACTAAACCAAAGTGACATTCAGGACTTTTGGCATCCAGTATCAGCTCTGCGATGACCTTGCTGTGTGACCTCTGGCAGCCAACCATGAACTGAAACCTCTGAAACCATAAGCCAAAATAAACCTCTCCTCCTTTAACTCGCTTTCTCAGATACCTTGCTCTAGCGACCAACCTCTCTTCCTCTGCAAAAACAGAGATAAGAGAAGAGAAAAAAAAAAACATGTAGTAATGATTTCACTGGAAACATAGAGATGTTCAACCATTCCAACTAGAAACATCAAGTTAGTGAACACACATGAATAATAAATATTATTGATGGAAAGAAAAAAAGAGTTAGTGAACTGAGTTGTGAGACCTTACTAAACAGCTATAAAACCTTGAGCAAATCTCATGAGTTCTCTGAGCCTCCCTTAGTTTAACCATGTGCCAAATAGCTAAGCCTGAACACACCAGCTGTCTGCTGACCTTTTTTTGACCTTAAGAGTCTTTTATTCTTTCCAAAGACCAGCTTCATTGTTTGTTTGTAAGATTTTTATCTCCTAAGCTGTATTTAGGTAAGTATTCATACTTAATAATTATTGAGTAATTATTGTTACCATTGTAAAAGACATTTTTGGTTAGGAGTGACAGTATTTATGGGCTTACATAACCAAAAAGCATAGAACTGGTGATAGCTTCAGGCAAGGCTTGATCCAACAGCTGTTACCAAGAACCTATGTTCTTTCGTTCTCTTGGCTTCACTTTTGATGTTGTGTCCCAAGGTAACTGCTAGAAACTCCTGGCACTGCGGGCTTTTTTTATTTGTAATTAGCAAGAAACAGTTAGATTCCTTGTTAGCTCAAAGAAAACGCCTGGAGATTCACTGACTCTGGTCGGCCTAAATTGGGCTCTGGGTCTTGTTTGGACCAATTACGGTGGCCTGGAGAATGAAACATTCTGATTTTCTCAAGCCAGCTAGTCCCCACTACTGGAACGTGGTTATCTCTGACCAAGCCACATGGCTAGGAAATCCCTGGTACTGTTAGAAGGGGGAATGGGGCAAAGGGTGCTGGAGAGACAAACAACCAATCTCTTCGGCAAGCTTATTGGCCAGCAATATCTCTACCTGCAATCAGAACCTCTGACCAGCCTGTGACTGCACACTGGTGACCTCCTGGACCTTGTGAGGTGCTCTCTGTGACCACCCATCTGTGTGTGACCACAATGACCACGTGAGCCCAGGGCAGCCAGCTCTGGAGACTTAGTCAGATCTGGCTCGGGTTTCCTCTGCTCCACGTGAGTCTTTGCAGATGGCTCAGCTGGAGACCCCAGGAGTCCTTGAGCTCCCTCCCAAGTCTGAGTCCAGGGGCTTATTACTGAGCTGAACGTGAAGGGCAGGTAAGCAGAGATGCACATGGCAAAGCTCATACCTACATTACACATTCAGCACTCACAGGTCCATGCCAAGACCTTTGCTGGGGACGCAGAGGACAGAAAGCCACCTTGGGGAAGGGAGATTGTGGTGCCCTCACTCAGTGCAGAAACACAATGAGGAAGACGCCACCTAGGCCAGAAAGCATCCCTGTTCCTCTGTCCCTTCAGCCACAGGAGCCTCTGTCCTGGCCCCTACACACCAGGGGTTAGGGACAGCCAGGGGATTCCAGTGACTTCCAGGAAGTTACCCAAGTCGTGTCATCACTTGGTGCAGATTAAGGGGCATCCCACTCAAGAAGGAGCCCAACCCTCTTCCCACTCTGGGGCTCTGCAGGATCTTCTCTGGTCCCCTCATCCACTTCAGCAGCTTTGGGGCGGGAGGCAGGGTACAGAGGTACAGAGGAGGCAGGGTACAGGGCCCACTTTCGGGCCCCACCTCTTTCTGGAGCTTCAAAAGGACTCACCTGGGAAGGGAGAGCAGAACAAAAAGCAAAGGGAGGAACTGCTGCTCAAACTCTCCTGCCAGTCAGCACCTTCCTTCTGGTTAAGCAGGGCCCTTACCAGGTCCCCAGTGAGTCACCTCTGTGGGCCTGATCCCCATCTCCGCATAAATGGGGCCTAAAATTCTGGAATGGAGAAAGCCTGGTTGGTCTCATCCTCAGCTTGGCCTAAACTGACTCAGCAAGGGCCTGGGGCAAGGCCCTTCCCTCCTCCCCTCCCAGTCTCCCCATCCTAGAACAGCTTCAAGTCAACCGGTCTCTAGGGGCTTTCTAGCTCCAGCAGTCTGATTCAATGTCCACAGAAGAGAGAGTAGGGATCTATAAATTGGAGGGGTAAGAAGAGAGAGGACCAAAGAGCGGCATCTAGCAGGGCCCCCAGAGCAAAGGCCTCAAGTTTAGACTCCCAATTGGATTATACTGAGGCACAGGACACACACCAACAGCACTGAACAAGACATGAGGCTCCATCACAAAAACCTACCACCTAGAAGGGCCATGAATTTGCATGTGTCTTTTCTAAATGAACTTGCAGGTTTTGGAATAACTATACGTTTGCAGGGCTGGGGATTTGCCTCCGTGGTTCCACCACCTGCCTTGCAAGCACAAGGTCCTGAGTTCGATCCCCGCTACCAGAAAGCAAACAGACAACAACATCAACAAAAAATAACTATAGGTTTGCAAGGGTAGTGCACAGACTTCCTTCAGACCCTCATCCATCTTTAGTCCCCCCAGTGTTGTCCTACATTTGTGCAAACAAAACTTCCCACATCAGTACATCAGAATTGACTGAACTGCAGGCCTTATTTAGATTTTGCCAGCTTTTCCATTCCTATTTCCCCTGCCCGAGACCCAGCTGAAATCCAGGGCACAGGGATGTGTACAGTCAGTGTGTTTTCAGAGTCCTCTGGTCTATGACCTTGACAGTTCTGACAAGTCCCGGGCAGGTGTTTTGTAGACTATCCTTTAATTTGAGTTTGTCTGATGTTTCCTCTGCGATTATAGGTTTTTAGAAAGATTGCCACAGCAGTAAGAGCTGTGCTGTCACACAGTGTCACCGGGGAAAGGCGCAGGCGTGTGCTAGTAGCCACTTATCACTGGTGAGGTGAATCCTGACCCCTTTGTTAGAGTGCTGCCTTCTGCAGATTTACTTGTTTCTGTCCTTTGTTTAACTCTGTTGATTACAAGCAAGTCACTAAGTCCACGGCACACACAAGCCCCATCTCACACAGGGGAGAGTGTATGTTCATCCCAGGGACTTGTTCGGCCCTGAAGATTTGCCTCTCCTTCCTCAGTTCCTCACTTATTTATATCAATATGGACTCCTAGGTCTTCCTTTCATACTTTGGGTTATAATCCAACTTTCTATTCTGTATTCGGTGGTTCATGCTGCTCCAGCTTTGGCCACTGGGAGCTCTTTGGACTTTGAGGTCCCTGTGACGGGCCCCCATTATTTTGTGTTTCTTTCTTTTTTGTTTATTTGGTTTTCTTTTGTTGTTGTTGTTGCTGTTGTTGTTGTTTTGAGACAAGTTCTCACTATGTAATTCAGACTGGCCTTGAACTCACTATGTAGCCCAGGCTGAACTCGAACTTGCAGTAACCCTCCTGCCTCAGCCTCCTGAGGGTTGGGATTTCAGACATGTACCACCACACCTGGCCATTTGGAGCATTTCTTAACTCTTGGGCACCACAAGAATCTCCAGGCTCACGTTTTCCCGGTCACCGCCCTGGAATCAGACATCATTCTTCCAAGGAAATAAATATTTTGAAAACAACTCCTTCAATTATCTCATCAATAACTCAAGTATATTGTACCACATTCAAGTGTATGATTAGAAAAAAGAGCTAATTTGCTCAGTTACCATTTACAATGCACAACAATCCAGGTGTCGTGATGCATGGCTGTGATCCCAGCCTTCAGAAGGCTGAGGCAGGATTGAGTTCAAGTCCAGCCTGGGCTACATAGTGAGTTCAAGGCCAGCCTGAGTCACATGAGATATTGTCAAAACAATCAAAAACAGGGCCGGGAATTTAGCTCACTGGCACCGCGCCTGCCTTGCGAGCACAAGGTCCTGAGTTCAATCCCTGGTACCTCCCCCAAAAAAATGAATAAGGAAAAACAAAACAAGTTAAAATCCAATCTGGACAATTTAGAACCTGTTATAAACTGGGGGGAAAAAATTAAAGGTCTAGGGATGTAGCTCAAAGGCGCTGGGTTCAATCTCCAAAACCAAAAAAGGAAAGAGGCATAAATACACAAAAAGCCTCAAACCCTGGGAAGGACATAGTTCTCAGTCTCCCAGGACGCCTTGCTGAATCTGTCACCTCTGCAGCTACTCTACTTAGGGAGCTCTCTCCCAGACGTCTCATAGAGGTGGCCGGGTTCCCGTGTCCTCCCCAGGAAGGCTGCCCAAATTCATTTCTGGGACCTTCCCTTCGGCCTCCGCTATCCACCTGAGGGGTGACAGGCCCTGCAGTTTCCTAGTGTTCACCCACACTGGCTGGCCACAGGCAGGGAGCTGGAAGGCGGGCAGCCTCCAGGAAGGAAATGAGGAGTGGAGGTCTGAGAAGGAAGTGCAAGAGGTAGAGTGGATGAGGGCTCTGGGGACGGGGCCAAGGTTTGCCAAATGCAGCCGTAAGTGGAGTTCCCCAGCACAGCCCTGGGTTCTACAGAAGAGAGTCAGCTTCTCAGGAAGGAGCCACTATCACAAGCCGGAAGAGAGAGTGACCACAGCTCATTCCAGGAGGGCAGGAGCCTTGTGATTCATCACTCCGTCCTGCTGCTCTAACTCACCAGGGGGCCTGGGAGCACAGGTGGAGCCCCCAGCCGATCCTGGCCAGAGAGGCCCAAAGCTGGCAGTGACAATCCAGCACCTAGGGAGGACAGAGTCGGGGTGCGGAAGGGACGGCTGAGGAGGAGGCCACTCTGCACCTGCACAGTCCAGAGCAGGCTTCACAGTGGAGGAGGCCTCGCCACCACGCTGTAAAGAGGAACAGAACCGGCCAGGCAGCAGTCAGAGGGGCCAGGGAAGCCCTCCCAGCCCAGGGAGAAGGTGAAGCAGAGGCCCAGAGGTGCTGGCATGGTGCCTGCCGCCGGGTGAGCACTCTGCAATGTAAGGCCTTATCATTGTGGTGGGTTATTGGTATCATTATGATATTAACCTGAGCGGGCCGCTTAATGTGTCCTATCTTAGATACTACAGTGAGAGATGGCCTGCCAGCCCTGAGCTCTCCTCTCACCTGTAGGAGTGGCGAGGGTCCAGTGCGTGCTGGTGTGACTGACAGCACAGCAGGTGGTCGCTGTCATCAGTCTGGAGTTGACAAGGGGGTGGTGGGCTCCCTCTCTCCACAGCCTGGGGTTGCTGTGTTTGGGGGACACAGAGAGAGAGAGAGAGGCACTTTGGGATCTTCAAAGGTGACCAAGCACCAAAATAGGCCTGACATGGTGGGTGCAGGCCAGCCCAGAGAAACCGCCTCAGGACCTGCTTAGCCATGCACACTCCCAGCAAGCTGGCGCACCCTCCCCATGAGCAGGCTGCCAGGGCAAGATGGGCTCAGAGCCACCGGGAGGACTGTGTTAATTCCAGCCCCACCGGTTCCCAGACCCTGGGCTAGAGACTCACCAGTCTCTAAGTGCCCATGTCCGCAATTCCGTAAGTGCATTAAAATATGGACAAGAATATACAAAGCACACTTGAGTAGGAAAAAAATAGGAACACAGGGTGTGGTGTTGCACACTTGTAATCCTACCACTGTGGGACAGCTGAAGCAGGAGAATCTCAAATTCAAGACCTGCCTGGACAACTTGGCAAGACTTTGTTTCAAAATAAAAAGTAATACACACACAGTAATTAACAACAACAACAAAAAGACTGGGAAGTAGCTCAGTGCAAAGACCCTGGGTTCAATCCTCAGTGTGGTGCCCCCCACCCAAAAAAAAGCCAGAAATGATATCCAGGCTCCTCTCTGCTCTGGGTCACTACTGCCTTCTAAAGTGGCAAAGGCGGCCCCTGATTTCCTGGAAAGAGAACTTTTGGTCCCGGTTCCGAGTCTTTCTAGCTGGAGTAATTGGCCTTCTCTGAATTTCTCAAGGGGAAACGGCAGGGACATCTCTGTCCTCCCCATGAAAGGCCCTGGGTTGCAGCTCCTACGTGCTCTGCACATTAGAGATCATGCCTTACCTGGGAAGTACAGGCACCCTCGTGGAGGGGTGGGTGCTGGTGGGGTGGGTGAGTTTTGCAGGGTAGCCAATAGTACAGTTCTCACACGGTGCCAGTGTTCCTGCCTTGCCTGGTTTCTATCTTCTGTCGCTGGGCATCTGTTGGTTGTACCTGCCTTTCTGTGTAAAAGTGTGCAGGCCCTGAGTGCGGCCCCACTTCTGGGTAACCGCTTCAATCTTGGCCTATGTGTTGGGTGCCCCGGCTCCATCTGAGAAGTGCCTGTCTAGTGGGCCCGTCTTTATGGCGGCACCTCCAACGGCGGGCGGACCAACTTCTGTGCGCCTGATTCACTGTGCACAAGTTCCTGAGTCTGAAAGTGGTTCAGACTGGTTGCTCGTGTCCTCGTATCGCTCCTACAAACTTTGGTCGGTCGGTACATGACAGGCGCTCTCACCCGGTTCAGTCCCGGACCAGCCTGCCCTGGCGTCAGGTGCGCTCT